TTTGTATAATGTCATTGTCAAATTGGACAGACCTCTACTTAATAATTACCAAGAAAGCAATCTAACTTGTTATTACAACAGTTTTATTGCAGATTGCTGGTTTAAAACCTTTTGTGTCAGTGGCATTTTTTTTTTCTTAAAAAAAAAAAAAAAAGTCATTTCTATTCCCCTGTAATTACTTTTTGCAGCCAGCGACAACTTCCTGCATTGGACACATTGAGACATTTTATTTTTGAAGTCAGGGGTTAAATTCTTGCTAACTTACTGCTGATTCCATCCTGTTTATCACTCTGGGAGAGCTTTCCTACTTCTCTCCTACCCCTGCCTCACCCTCACCCTCAGCCTCCTTTCTCACCACACTATCTGGGATACATTTAAACACGGGAGCCTGAGTAAAGCCAGGGAGTGACTAAGGATCGGGTGAGCAAAGCCCATTTTGCTTTACCGAAAACAATGGTGCCGAATGATGCAAGTAAAACATTTAACCTCAGGACATCAATTTCAGGTAGTCTGCAGGCACATTCTTAGGAGCGAACCCTTTGTGATAGTTTGTAGAGGATCTCAAGGAGAAATTGTTGTCCGTATCTTAGATTTGTGCTTACATCAGGGCGTCGTGGGTAGAAGGCAAAAATTAGATTCCCAGAGCACATTGCTGCTGTGATTTCCTTCTGCACACCCCCACCCCGATCTGTGTGCTTTTAAAAAACAAGACACGTGAGGAAGCATCTTGTTTTCGCGATTCTGTACTCACTCCCAAACCTTCTCTGCCTAAACGAGACTTTCCCAGTTTACCACTTTATCTCTTCTGTGTTATTCCAGCCACTCGTGACGTTCTACTCCCCATTCTTTCATACATTTATTTAATCGGCATTTATGGAAGGCTTATGCTTTGCACTTTGCAAAATGCCAGGGAGATAAAGCTTGCGTCTCACACAGAAAAAGCTCAGTCTAGAGGGCAGAGAGATGTATAAATCAAGGATTACCACACCAAACCACACACATTCCCCTGTTTACTGGCCTTGATCTGCTTTTCCCCAATGGACCTCCAACAGGGGCTGCACCTCTGCTACAGCCTTAAGCCTAGTACCCTGACATTGGCCGACTCTCTGTGGCAGTGTCTAATGAAAAACTGTGATTTTAACAAGGAAGACATAATTCTGCGAGCAGTGTAAATAGTAAGTTACCCAGTGTTGATATTTTGCAAACATCCAGGTGATGTTTTTAGAGCGGGGATTCAAATCTTCAATGCCTGTAGGGGGCAGGGAGCAACAAAGAGTGAACTGTGAGGTCTGAGACAATAGGGAGTGGTGGGGACTGTGGCACATTGGAGCGCATATGTCTCATCCAAAGGGGCAAGTGCTTTGGAGCTCCAATCTCTGTAGTCATAGGAAATGTAGCTTCAGTGTGGTCATATCTTGTTTGTCCAGGAAAGCCAAAAACTAGTTTTTATATGAAATCACCTGTTGGTATCTAATGCCAGTTAAAAAGCAAAAGACAAAAAATGCTGTGCTGACCAAACGGAACATGTCTGCACATTGGGCTTCTGGACACCCCTTCATGTCCTCTGCTTTGATGAGAAGCATCTGTGCAGCACTCTGCGTTGAGACTTGATTTCCACTTTTGACATTTCTATATAAAAGTTGTTTCACCTTGAACAAACTGCTTAATTTCCACCTTTGGCTTTTCTATATAAAGGCCAGTGGACCTTGAGCAAGTTGTCTTGCTGTCTCTGGCCTCAGTTTGTCATCTATACGAGGAACGCAGGATCAGCAGTCTCAAAAGGGCCTCAACCTCTGTGGTCGTGGCACTGTTTGTATGTAATCACTTTGGTTCCATCACTCTGTCCCTCTCCAAATTGTCCCTTTGGCCAGTGAGCAAAGGATTGTCGTGGGTCAAAGGGCTTCTTAAAAAGAGGTTCCTATAAAGTAGTATAGAATTATCTGAGATAGGGATTTGAGGGTTATGAAAGAGGACTCAGAGATCTGCTGGCAATCCCCTGCTAGGCTATGAATGTGCGCAAGGCCACATAGATTTTATCAACGTTTCTGCGTTAGAAAGCTCCTTTCTTCGTATGTCTAGTTGGTAAATGATATCATAGTAGTTTAAAGATATTATTCATGATCACTATGAACCATTTCTTCCCTTCTCACCTGTAGGATCAGGTGGTTAAAACAATAAGGATCTTTGATCCCATGAACTGCCAGAGTCCCGAATCCGAGTGGTCGTTGCTCACAGACTATCAGCATATTGGCCTCTTCAGGATCATGCTAAGTCAAGATCAGACTTCTTGAGCTTTTGGCATTTAGCTGCTATTTACATTAGGAAATGGTTACTTAATCTTAGTAATTTGGTTCAACAAATACTGCATAAGCCAGCTGATATTTTAAATAGCTTAAGCTCCAGAAGTAACAGCCTCATAAAAGGTACGTGTTAGTGGTGCTCTATGGGACGTAAATTAAGAAGAGCATTTTCCCAGCTGTACTTGGCCTGGTGTTTCAGCAAACTGTGTAACCAGCAGACATTAGAGTCTGCTGGCAGGAGTCAGAAAACCTGCACATCACCGGGAGCCCCGGCACGCCTGCCTGGAAGTGGCCCTTTGAAATCTCACTGTCTGTTGAAAGCCATATGGAGGACCGTGGCCTCACAAGCTTGAATGAGCAATTGGTCTTATTCCCACCAGAGAGCAGGAGGCCTTTATCGGTACCTTACCTGTAAGTAGCCCATCCGCAAGTCCAGCTCATCTGATTATGGCACCTTGCTATTTAAAACCAACCCAAGGCTTCCCGAAATCCCACTTGGAATAGGTTGCAGACTGCTTGCTGTGGCCAACAAAGTCTTCTGATCTTGCTCCCGCCTGGCATCCTGACCCAGTCGTTATCACAGTTGTATCACTGCCCCTCAGATACCCCAAGTTCCTTCTTGCCTCAGGGCCCTAGCACTTGCTGTTCCTACTCCCTAGGATGCTCTTTCCCAGATCCTCTCATCGCCTGCTTCTTCCCATCATGCTCCAGGGCCCTGTGCTCTAGTGGCACGTCTCTAGAATGTTCCTCCTGGACCATTACAGATAACACACTCTTCCAGTTACTCTCCGTTTGCTTAGGGATTTTATTTTCTGCAGAGTCCTTGTCTTCATCTGGGAATTTATTATTAAATCACTTGTATATTTGCTTATTGCCTCTCTCTGCCAACACAGATTTTTCTGGGGATGAAGATGTTGTGTATCTGTCAAGTAGTAGGTAGGGACCTTGGCAAGTTACATGAGCTTTTTGAGCCTTAGTTTCATCACCTGTAAAGTAGAGATATCTCTAGAAGTCTGAGTAACTAGGCTGATCTCTCCCTCTTAGGGATATTGTAGGGACTAAATGAAAGCTCCGAGAAAGGCCATGCCCTGTGACCAAGCATCTCCTCCCCCTTACAATGCTGGAGCTAAATGAACATCAAGTCACTTCCCTGCCTATCAGTAAGCCATTGTTTTATTAATCAAAAGTATTTGGAACATAAGTGATAATGCCCATTGTAGAAACACCATTATATAGAATAATTTTTATTTCTGTGAGCTTTCATTTCTCTGAGTATATAAATATGTTGTCACCGAATGGTATCATGTTGTTTACATATTTGTATCCATATAATAATATTTGTTGATCTTATACCTTAAGATAGTCTTCAAAATATCATTTTGGCCCTGGCCAGCGTGGCTCAGTTGGTTGGGCATTGTCCTATGCACCGAAAAGTTACTGGTTCAATTTCCTGTCAGGCACATGCTCAGGTTTCAGGCTTAATCTCCAGTAGGAGGCATGTAGGAGGCAACTGATCAGTGCTTTCTCTCATCAATGTTTCTCTCTGTGTGTCCCTCTTCGTTATTCTCTCTCTAAAAATAAAATCAATAAAAATATTTTAAATGTTATTTTGAATGCTAATGTATTCCATATTGCATCATACTTTTTGCCTTGTTACTGCATATGTAGGTTGCTTTCAATTCTTCTTGCTCTGTAAATACTACTACCTTGAACATCTTAATGCAGAAAATATTTTACAGAACCATTTATTATTTTCTTAGAATTGAACCCCAATAAGTGGAAATCATTTATTGAGCTTGTCTGTATTGGCGGTTCCATGTGCAGTACTATGGGGAATTCCAAACCAGTCCAGATCTCTTAAAGAACTTCTGCTGGTTGAGGAGACAAAATTCAGATACATGAAGGCACAATCAGTGTTAGGTTGACTAAGGGCTGGATAATGTGGTTGCAGACAAGGTGCTGGAGTTCTGAGAATAGAAAGGAAATCAGAGGGCAGCAGTAGCCGCAGAAGACCTACAGGGAAGGTGGGATTTGATGTGGGCATGGGAGGGTGGGTGAGGAGAGAGGAGATGTTCTGGGGGCAGGATCTGCATCAGTGAAGGCACCGAGGGAGGAAGAAGCTGACCTCAAGGCAGCCTGAGCTGCGGGCAAGAGCCATGGGCAGATGAGGTGGGACAGCTTGGCTGGTGCCAGGAGTGACGGTGCCGCAGTCATGTGTCGGGCAGTTACGCGGAAGCTAAGGATTATTACCATCATTCCGAGCACACAGGGGTCTGCTTGGAACCACAATATAAGCCATTTATACAAAAGACCAAAATGGAATCCAAATAACAGGTCCAGCTGCTCCAAAAACCTCCCTCCCCCTGCAGTTAACATTTTACTACCCAACCGAGAAACTAATGAATCTGGCCCAGCACAGATCCCCAGACACCAATTCCTGCTTAGGTCTGTGTCTAGACAGCTAGACCTGAGTGCAATTTGCACTTTGAACAGTCAGTGCCTTATCGCTTGCAAGAAATCAGCCTTAATGGGGAAGCGGGAGGTGCCACCCCCAGCCCCGTCCACTTGGCACAGCGACTGCAGAATGAGGCTCCCTTGGATAACGATGGGGTTAGGAGATGAAAGGGACGTAACAGTGCTGGCTGTGTGGCTCTGGTCCTTCAGGAGCACTGACTGGGAGGTGTCTCCATCTCATTGCAGGCTGTGTTTTGTGAAGCTCAAGCTCCTCATGATAGCCATTGAATACAAGTCCGCCAACCGAGAGAGCCGGTAAGTTTGCTGCGACTCTGCGGCCAGCTCACTTTGATGATGGTTAGCATGCATCCTGGGAACGTTCGGTCCACTTCTCTGTCTTGGGGATTATTTACTTGCTTGGGACCCTGAAGCAACACCTCTCAGACCCTAAGACACATTTCCAGGCATGTTCGACCAGGCACTGGCGTCTCTATCCCAGACCCGCCTGGCATCGGGAGCCCCCTGGGCCTTGAGAGTGTTCCTCCAAGGAAAGCGAGGAGACCAGCCCTCCATCCGATGGTGCCAGCGTTCACTTTCAGCTCTCTGCATAAAAGAGGGGTCAGACACTGTCCTCTTACCCCTTTTACTGTTGTGAGCACAAAGCACAAAGGTGGACGCCAACCTCATTGCCAGCAGGCAGGGGGCAGGGCCATGATGGGAGATACGAGCTCTCTTGATAGCCGAATTACAAGCAGCCTATTGTGGACCATATGTGCTTCTCCCGGTGCAACCGAAATCCAGGTGGCAGGATATCAGCTTCATGTAAATTAGCCGGAGGAGCAAGGCGCAGAGGCAGGGGCCCTCTTTATTTATTTATTTTGCACGTAATTACGTGCAAATGAGACTGATGAGGGACTGGGTCTGGCTGAAACAGATAACACCCCAGTCAATAGATGAGTTCACACTGGAAGAAGGAGGCATCACATTAACAAGGAATTCTGTGGATGGAACACTGTATGCATTACAGATAAAATAGAGATGATTTCTGCCACCCGTCTCCCCCATTTTTACCAGTCGTTTTGGGAGAAAGGTAACTCATTGAGACATGGTCAGGCTTTTGTCCTCTGAAATGACATTCTGGCTTGTTCCTAGTTGTAGTCAGTACGTTTTCCTGTAGAGCAGACAGCTTCGCACACACACCCGAATGACCGCGCAGAGTACAGGGCCAGGCTAGAAGGTTCCTTGCTATGATCGTTTAAGGCATTTCCATTATTTGGATGAGTGACCCGATAACGCCAGACCTCCAAATGTTCAGTCTGTGTCTCCATGACAAAAAACGCTGGATTGTAAGCAAGTCAATCCAATGTTCTCTGTTACCTCAACCCCAGATCAGATTGCTCTGCGTCAATCTGATCAAACGTTCAGCTATTATGAAAATCCAAATCAACCCAAAGGAAGAAAAAGCGGTAGATTTGGTAGCCACGTGTAGAACATGGCTGTGGCAGTTAGAACATATGTACGTAGACACATATTTTTCCTGTTGGCAAGTGAAGAATATTATTTGCAAAAACCACTGAGAGTCCTGGCTATTCGCTGTTCAACTGATGACGTGGATGTTCCTGGGACTGCTGCTTGTCCATGTTGTTGCCAACGCTCACCTGTGCCTGGCGGGGGGGGGGGGGGGGAGGGGAGGGGGGGGAGGGTTGCAAATGATATTCTTTGTGTTGCCAACTCAGTAATTCTTTGTACAATTCAGTGTTCTCTCTTTCTTATTTGTGCATCTTTCAACAAAGTGTCCTGATGTGGGTGATGCTGAATAGCCTTTCTCGAGCATTCTGGAAGCATTTCCTAGCAAGAGACTGTACTCTGAACCTTGACCAGTCCTCTTCCACCTGCCACTCTTTGGTCCCAAGGAGGGAGAGGAACAGGCTGCTAATGGTCCCATGGAATGCCCTGCCCCCACTCTAAGAAAAAGAAATCAGAGCTTTCCCCGAAGACACAATCTTTCCTTTGATGGACCCTCCAGTTAATTCACCAATCAGAGATGTTTTCAACAAAGCCACATTTACAGATAGAGGTTTTTAGATTTTTTTTTTTTTTTAAGAAAAGGGAGAAAAGAATTTGGCTTTGTTTTGGCTTTCTGTGTGCCGTTGCCAGCTTTAATCCTCAGCTGTGGCTTGGTCTCAGTGTAAAGCTCATTGGTTCTTGTGGAAAAAGGTGTGTTTGAAGGAATGTGGATCATGCCTGTGAGAAAACACAGGGCTTATCAAACACAGTACCCATGTCTCCAAGAATCCAGTGCTGGACCCTTCCTGAGATGATAACTTTGGTTTTTCCCCTGCATTAAAACATTTCCCATTTTCTTTCCTCTCACACTTTTGAAGTGACCAGGTGTTAAAATCCCGAGAGCCCTGCTCCTCTGTCCCACCCCAGTGCCCCAGCCTGTCCTGAATGACCTTGTCCTTCCGCCCCATGATACTGTTCTCATGCTTTGCTGAAAAACCTTGTTTTCACATGTACCCTTCAAATAATTTGAAACAAAGGTTTTATTCCTTCTTTTCCTTCTGGTGTCAATTTATTATCAAATTGTTTGATTTTAAATTCTTTTCTTGTCGTTTTGCAGAAGCCGAAAGCGGTATGCACTCTTCGTTAACTTTCCTCCCAACCTCCACCCTCTATCTTCACTTCTAACCGCAGGACTAACTATTTGTCAAGAATTCAGGAAGATAGAGATTATATATATGTGTATATGTGTATATAATCTCATTCCCTTGTCAGTATATATAGATATATATTTATATATAACTATATATGTATATTTATATATAAACCCCTCCAACTAGGGGACATAAAAATTGAAAGTAGCACATTGCTTTTCTTGTTTGATTTGTTGATTCTTTTGGATGACGCACTAACTTCTTTGCAGGAAACCTTTGCAGGAAAAAAAAAAAACACAAAAAAAAACCAAAAAACACAATCTTGTTTTCAATCATGGCACCAATGATGGGAACAAATGCTATTCAAGTTGAAAAGGAGGACGCTTCTCTCCAGCCCTCGGTGTCTGTTTCTGTCCTGTCCTGATGTGTCATGGTGTCCACCAGACTTTGGTTCCATTTGTCTGCATCCCACATCCACATTCCCAGTGACCCCCGCCTCCCTGTGTCCACTTTCTAATTGGTAGAGCAGAATTCGTGTCCTTTTATCCACAAAACAGAGACCAAGCCCTTACACTTACTTCTTTTTCCTTAAACTTGTTTAGATGATCAGATTTTGCATATGTGTTTCTTGGGCAGTACTCCGATGAGTACTGTCTATTGAGATGAACTCAGGGGCTTCTGTTTTTCTTAGTGTATTTGGGCATATTTCTTAATATGAAGTATTGCAACGTTCACCGTGTTACCTCACCTGTTTTGCTGCTGTTATATGTTGCATGAAGCATGACCGAATCCTCATCGGTAGCTTTTTTTGTTTTCTACCTTTTTGGGTGAATATTTCCAGTGCAGCTTCTTCAATGTGTTCTCTATCTAAGGGCGTGTTGTTGAAAACATACTGTTGAGATGCCTACTTATTCACCTTCTAAAGAGTTGTTTTTCTCTGTGGTTGTAATCACTGTCACATGTTTGTTTTGGTGTGTGTGTGTGTGTGTGTGTGTGTGTGTGTGTGTGTGTAACTCTTTCCGAAGTCAGGTTCTTTGTGGTTTTGTGAGTAGATGTGTGAAAATAGAGGTGGCTTCCTGTCAGTTCGGTATTATTGACATGATCCAACTGCGAGAAGTTACTGCAACACTTTGCATCGCCAAAGGGCCACAGTGGTTGCACCTGTGCTGTTGGCTTTGGCCTTGGAGTCCTTTTATCATGTGGTGAAGGCATGTTGTGATGTAGGCATGACTTGGCCTAAAGTGTCCCAGAAAGCGACTCAGGTTGTTCCCAGACCAAATATCCAGCATTGTCCTTGCCAAATGAACGATTTCTTCTCCCTCCCATTCGGCCACTATTTTCCTTACATGCAAAATCTATTTGAAAATGCCATTTCTAAAATTGTTGGGATGGAATCAGGATAAACATGTCATTGGTGGACCGCAGTGGAGGTCACTTGAGTCTGGCCGACTGGGAGCAATCTTTATGATGCTGTCTCTGTGTAAGTGCCCTGGGCTCCAGTGTGCTGAGCATGGAACCCACACTGTGGAATGTGTGTGTGTCTAGTTGTGTGGGACTCCGACAGCATATATTTTAACACCCAGAGAAGTGACAAGTCCCAGAAAGGCAGCAAGAGTTGAGATTTGGGGTTTCTGGAGGCTGTGCCCTAACACAGCCCCTAAACTTGCCAGGCAGCTGTACTCCCTGAGATGGGAACCAGTTGGTTCAAACAAAGTCCCACCCAACAGCAATCGCACATGACCTTGTGTGTTCAAAGAGGCCACTTTCAGGGGCATGATCCCTCTGGGCCCGGCATGAACTGAAGTCCTACATGGTTCTTATTCTCTTGTTCTAGGTAATGAAGTCCCATTAGCTTTCTAGACTCAGATATAATTGCAGTGCTACCAAATACAAAGTATGCTCTCATGAACGTGATATTTTTGTAATTGCTCAGGGAATGGTACATTACACCTACCAGAAATTGAGTGGGGAGGAAAGAGATTTACACCTGTCATATTTATCCGTAATGGAGAAGAGTTTCCTTAAAAAATATCTCTTTCAGTTGAATTACTAATAATGGGTTGTCTCTCAAATCAGCAAACAAGTAAAGTTCATGATAATTTTTGGAGGAGAAATAACGAGTTGTTTCCTAGTTGTTATCCATAAATGATGGAGAAAGGGAAGACATCATTTTGCCCTATTAAGCCCCAAATCTTCACCCTAACCCAAGTTCAGCAAGAGATACACAGTGAAATGCACTGCAGCTTGAGACTTGGCACTCCCACCCCTCCCGAGGGCACCCAGCAAGTGCTGTTTCCCAGTGGACTGAGCCCTGCTAGCCAGTTTCAGGAGAATGTGTCTTATATTTAAGAACATATTTCAGATCTAAGTGAGTGGTGTTTTCAATATTGAAATCAATTGCTTTAATTCCCCGGGTGCCTAGGTGTTTATATATTTGTATATTTACATATTTATGCTTAATGTCTCTGGGATATTGTTAGCTTACTTGCCACCCCCCCAGAAGAAATGTGATCCTTCCTCCCATAGGCCTGACTGGTAGGAACTGCAGGTGGGCCTTTGAAAGATCAGTTGTGACTCCTTTTCTCCTTAGTAGAGAGGGAAAGCAACACTTTTAGAACTAAGACCAATGACTTAGGTTTTTCACTCATTCCACAAAGAGTTGAAAAGTGCCTATTCCATGCAGGGCTCTAAGCTGGCTGCTATAAGAAACTAATTTATGAAAGTAAATAAAATATGATCTTGCTTTTCACTCCTTTATGCCCCTATGAGTTCCCTACAAAAGATATCTATTTATTTTATATAGTGAGCGAGGAACTGAAGAACAAGCCTAGATTCAAAACTAGTCTGAGAGCAAAAGAAAAAGCATAAGAATCCTTGGGGAAGGGACCACACCAACCCTTGGCCTCCATCTATCACTGAATCTTTTCAGTAGAAATTAACAAACCATAGAAGGAAGGGGATAATTTATAGGGTCCTTGGAAATGAGGGCAAGTCCATCCCGCCAAGAATATGTCCCTATTGGAATTCTGCTAATTGATAGATGGAGTTCTTTCTTAGAGATTTTCTTGATTCTTCACATGACATATCTTGAAGTTCATCTCTGTTTGATAAGCAAATGAATTAGACAGAATTGGAGCCAAAGACTGATTTAAAGTGATGCCCAGGGAGGGAGACTTTTGGCCGTCATCAGGACACGCAAACTTAACATTGGCTATTTTAAGACATCAAAGATCTTTGGAAAGATTTACATATTCCCTTTAGGAGGTGAACAACACATTCTAAGGATAGTAGGCACTTTGCAGGAACAAAAAAGAGTTACTTCTGTTTCAGATGCTTAGCTTTTTATATTTTCAAGAAGACGGGGATCAGTACTTCAAACTTTCTAGATTTGGAACGTGTATAGAAGACTTAATGTCTGAAATGTCAAAAAGAGTAATATATTTCCTCAAAGAGTCTTTGAAACTCTGTGCCCTTACACAGGGAGTAGTGTATACAGTGGTTCCTGGGTCAGACTAGAGTGCTTCTCTACCAAACCCATAAACATGCATGCAATCCAGCCCAGAGAGCCTCTTTATGTATCTTGATGTCTTTCCTTCAAGAGCTGGGCTCATTCTTTCAGCCTCATGCACCATGTAGAAATGATTGCAAGCCTCCAGCCCTGACCAGAAGAGAAAGAGAATATTCTGGAGTCACCTGGTCAGTGATGACCTTGGAGGTCCTTCCAGTGTCTTATACAATCAGCCACAAAGTTTAAGGTACAGAGAGCTACTCTACTGTGTAGACAAAAACCAGTCCAAATTAGCCCATCTACAGCTACTGTACAGGAAGTAAGTCTCTCAGATACTATGGTCAGTGAAAAGGTCTTTCAGTGCCCATAGGTAGTTTCTTAGCACCAAAGACAAAATGGGGAGCTGTGAGGCTGTGAGAGATGATCTGCTTCTCAGGTGCTGTAATCACCTTGCTACTATTAACCGTGACTGTGCATTAAGGATTTCTTGTGTAACAGTCACTCGGCGAATAGTATGTGCTTTAATTTTCTTAGCAACACTATAAGCTAGTGATTCTGCGGCCCATTTTGCAGATGAGGAGAGTAAGGCTTAGCGCCATCCACATGCTCAAGGCCGAGATCTGAGGCCATAGGCCTGACAGGTGCACCTGAGTACTCAACCACCAGCAGCAACAACACTGAGATCTGAACACAGATCTGCCTTACTTCCATGCCTGAATCTGCCCTCTCCACCCTCAAACTTGACCAGGGCCAGCGGAAGGCTGAAATAAATGATCTCAACCTGCCGTCTGTGGAGTGACATCCCATATTCTTACTGTAGGCGGGTTGTTAGAGAACAGAGGCAATGAAAAGAGACTTTTCGTTGGCAGGAACCTTGCTATCACCGCCATGGCATAGTGGGGTTGACCATTGGAGTGCAATTTTTGAAGCATGTGATGTAAAAAGGGGGAAGCAGGTTCTGTGTGAGGCTGTGTTGTGCATATATGTCACCAAGACATTGATGCCTCTCAAATTTCCTCTTTTGAATTGTGTTGCTGAAATCATGATAGGATTTGTTTTCACCAGGGAAGCTTTTTAACACTCTTAAATGAATACATGTCAATAGGTAGAATTTTCCAATTTTGAGGAAGTAGCCCCTTTAGAGTCCAGAAGTACGTGGAATTTTTCATTATGTCCTTGTCCACTATTTTAAAGTGTACAGTTAGTGCTTCACCCTGTAACTTCACCAAGTCATGGGCAGGACGTGTTCCATGTCACGAGGCCAACTAAGGAAAAGCTGATGATTCCATTGAGAATGGAATATCCTTTTGGCTTCCCCCCCCCCTTCAAGAATAAATAATAAAAGGAACAATAACCAGTAGACATAGAGCCTTCTGTGCATTGTCACTGGAGACTATGATGATCATCATGCCCTCCTTGTGGGTGAGGAAATTGAATCCTCGAGATGTCCTGTAACTCGCCCAAAGTCAGACAGCTACTGAATGGCCATGCTGGAGTTTGGACCCAATCTCTGGTTGCAGAGCCAGGGCATAGAAGAACTGCCCAGCAGGAACAGGGGTAAGAAAGTATGACGACCCGGAATGCTGCCCGTCTGAAACGTTGCATTTAACCGGGAATCTGGCTAGCCTGTATCAGCTGGGGCCCTTTCTCCTCACGATCATGAAAAGTCAGAGGGTGGTGCAACAAACGTGGAGAGTTGGTGGAGGGTGATTGGGAGGGGCCTCTCCAGCGCTGCCCTGTGTGGCCCGCTGCTGCCTCACTGTTGTCTGGGCTTCCAGGGAAGAACAGTCAGGTCTTCGTGGACTCTTGCTATTATTTAGTGTTAATGAGAGCAGTGACACGGGATTGGTTTCCTTCTGTCAGGCCTTGTTATGGGTAATAGGGGATGTTCTTGTGACCACAAACCATTATTTTGCAATAACCATCTACTCTGTTCTCCCAACAGAACAAAAGTTCACCTGGGTCCTTCCTGTATTGCTACAGGCACATCTCCCTGTTGCTCACAGCACTTTTCTGCAATGATTTTACCAGCAGAAAAGGATTACATGTTAATTGCCATCCTCCATTTTGATCGTTTTAGTCAGTTTAGGACTTCCTTTAGCCTGATTCCAAACATCTATTACATGGAACACCTGATTTTCAGATCAGACTCCCTCCGTTGTATCTGTTGCTGAATTTAGAGTCCCTAAATTCCGTATCCGTTGAGCCCAGAGTCTCATCTCAGTCTCTGAGTATGGTGTTCCTGGATTCTGCTTTTGATCTGCAGAAAATTAAATTTGTTTGTTTCATCCATTTATTAGATTAGGATACATTTATCTCTTCTGTCAGTCCAAACACAGCTTGGTCAGCTAATCTATTTATACCACTTTGAAATAGGACAGTGTATATTTAGGTTCATACTTCCCTGCAGGGGAAGTTTTTTGTGGTAATTTGCATTTGTTTTCTAATTACAGTTTGCCCCAATCAGGATGTGCTAGACATGCACCTTATTCAAAGACTCTCTTACCTTTTTGTAAACGGCAGGCTGGGATCATTAAGTATTTCTGATTGCTCACAGTTTTCTTTTTCACTGTTCTGGTGGACCCAGTTCTTTCCACACAGACTGCACATGGAATCTACTTCCATGTCCTTATCATGTCATGCAGATGTTCTGCTTGCTTCTGCATTGGTATGGGTGTCTTGTACCATTCCCTGCAGTGGTATGTGGTGTGTATACATGTCTGTTTCTGTATGCATATAGGGGTCCCATTAATGCTCTGTCATCTAACTGAAAATCGGTGAGGCAATAGCTTTATTAGACTAATAACACTCAGTGTTGACCATCAACAGCATTTTCAAAGGGGTACATGATTGGGAATTTTGCTTCAAACCAGAAGCCCATGGTAGCAACCCCATTATAAAAACTTGGCCCTGAAACCTAGATTTGCTTTGATTTCTGCAACTGGGAGTATGCCAACCTAGGACTTGAACAGCCAAGCTTTATGATGGCGTTATCCAGTTAAGTCTGTGGGACAGTGGACCTCAAGCTCCAGACGAAATCGTTGGGGACAGCATTAGACTAGTGGGCCCCCTATACAATTAACAATACCGTGTAGCCTTCAAGGTTTTGCACAGAACATGACCTGACAGATGTGTCTTCTTTGTTTGTTTTTGTTCACTGAGCAGTATATTAATTAATCCTGGAAACCATCTTAAGATCCAAGAAGGTACTTTAGGATTTTTCATCGCAAGTGATGCCAAAGAAGTTAAAAGGTAAGAGTTTATTTTCGCCTGCCTTCCTTTCCATTCTGACGTAGACATCTTCACCCCCTGAGGTGGCCATGCTTCCATATGTACAGGGCCTGAACCCCAGAACATCCGAACAGGCCTCTGGGCATCTTACTAACAAATCTTAGGAAGAAGGGGTTGTGCTTTCAAATGTTTCCATGGGCTCCTCTTCACATAACCAGTTCCACATCTTTGAATTAGCATAACATTTCAGAGGTAGGAGGGCCTGCTTAGCTCCTCCTTCATTTCCTAAGGAAGAAACCAGAGTTCCAGAGAGCTCAATTGATTGTTGCCGCCCTCCGATGCTTGATGGCCCAGAACAACATAGCATAGGGCAGCTGACTCCTCGGCCACTGCTCTTTACTGAGAATTATCAGTTTTTACTTTAAGTGCCAAATGGAATCTCAAAAGGTTTGGATTAATTTCAGATGAAATACTGAACTGGCCATATTTCCATTTGTGGCCTTCTAGGTAAGTGGCTGAAGTTGTCAGGGATAGCCAGTTTTTCATTGGCCTCGATGGTTTATGACACCTTTATTGGTACAGTAAACCCTCGATTTTTCGGACCTCGATTTAATGGACTTTGGGTTTAGTGAATGGAATTTCTGGTCCGTATGTCATATGTGAAAGTTAACACCCTACTAATTTTAAAATGCTTTTAATCTTCAGTAGCTTATAATTTAATTAACAGATTATATTGTTATTTTTTAACAAATTTTAGCGAATAAGCCATATATTGGAGAAAAACACTGTAGTAATTTTGTCGACATAAGTAAATATTACATATTGACAACTATAGTCTATGTATTTAAATCCAAGAGTTGCAACTCCTAAACAATGTTCGGCGAATGATTAGCACATGATTACACCACCTCGCGAGGTGTAATTGGTTCTGTTGTCACATGGTATGACTTTCTGCAGCAGTTTTAACACACGTCAGCCCATGTTCCCATGTGCGCTAAGCCACACCCCAACCCCCAGCCTTGTACATTTGTTGACTCTCAGTGACTGGTGAATGCATGCCTTTACTAGACCTATTGAGTTTAATATGGGGCAGCCCTGTTCTGAGTACCAGGCACCAGGCATTGATGAACTCATTTCCTACTTGCAACAACCCTAAGAGACAGCATTACTGTTCCTATTTTACATATGAGGAAACTGAGGGATGGGTTGGTTAACTAACTTGCCCAAGCCACACTGCCAGTTTAAAGCCAGCGTTTAAAACCAGCAAGTCTTACATTCTTAATTATTTGCCAAGACTGAGCCTGACACGCTGAGCATAGAACTACGATGTTTGACAGCTGATGCTTACTCATCATGCGCTCTTGCAAACTAGCCGCCAGTCATAACAGCTTTCAGGGGGAAAATGCAGTGGAAAAGCAACAACAACAAAAATTTAAACTGAGCTATCCAATGGCTTAAATTTACTTCTGCAAAATTCCCATTACTCAGGTGTGGGTGAGGAAAACCTCTTTATCCGATTCAGGGTCCCCACTGTCTTAGGAGTACCCCAAGAACTGGGTCCACCTGAGAGGAACGTTGGGCGGGGGAACGGGACTGGACACCCTTCTCCTCCTCTGGAAGAGAAGGTTGTGCTCACGGCCAGACGGAGATACAACGCTGGAAGCGGCATCTCCGGGCAGGGGGCTGGGGAGCACAGCAAAGAGAACCCGAGACTCCCATTTGTGTAATCCTATTTCCTGTTGCATCTCTCACTAATGAACGTCACAAATACCAGGCCGTCCAAAAAACAAATCGCCTCCCCTATTGGGGAGTGTGGTGTGTCTCATCTCAGTGCTTTATGGTCTCCACAAATACATGCTGACACAATCAGCTGCGCCGGCCTGTAAGTCCCGCGCTGCGTGGTGTGTCAGAGCAGAAGCTGTCAGTTAGGGGACTGCAAATAGCTGAAGCCTGCAGAAAGCCACAGACGGGCACTGGAGATCTGAATGAAACTAAACTCGTTTTGTGCAAATGGAAAAGTAGATTATGACGTTCTCCTATTGAGTTTGCACCCTCTGCTGCAAAACAGCAACAAAAGAAGTTAACGGATTCTGGCTTAAACTTTCAGATGTAGTATTTTAGGGGGGGGGAAAAAGAAGATGAAACCATCTGATTCCAGTTTTAACGAGGTCACTCTGGGAGAAGCATTTGGTCCCTTGTCCGTTACTCCTGGCCATTAAACATTTTGCTTTTTAAGTAACCTTCCCATAGTATTGAATGTGGGAGTCACAGAATGGTGCCTCATTGGCTCAGGTTTGGCTTATAGACATGATTTGAGCCACAATTTTTTTAAAATATATTTTATTGATTTTTTACAGAGAGGGATAGAGAGTTAGAAACATTGATGAGAGAGAAGCATCGATCAGCTGCCTCCTGCACACCCCCCACCGGGGATGTTACCTGCAACCAAGGTACATGCCTTTGACCAGAATCGAACCTGGGATTCTTCAGTCCCCAGGCCGACGCTCTATCCAGTGAGCCAAACCGGCCAGGGCAAGCCAATTTTTTTTTTTAAATAGTTTCCAAGCTGAAGAAGTCCTAATCTTACATAAAAATCCCTATTATTGGTGTCTCCTGAAAAACATGCGGATTCAGCATTACTGAGCAGCATTCATTCATCCATCAAACGTCAACAGGTCACTCACTTCCCGGGACACTGCACTAGGTGCCAGGGAAACGAGGGAATGAAGTCCCTGCTCTCATGGGCTCCCTTCCAGGGAGGGAGAAGTACAGCTGTGTTTATTCATGGTGCAAAGCATTCATGCAGCTGGTCACTGATTTAGACTGAGTGTAAGTGGAGGTGGCTGAGAGTGAGTGACGATAGAGCAGAGATTGGGGTGATGGGGAAGAATCCATCATTGCAGAGATCTGAAGGGAAGAGGAGACATGATGGGAATAAGTTTGTTGTGTTCAGGGAACTGAAGGAAAAAGAGTGTGTCTGGGGTGTAGAGTGGCGCGGTGAAGTTAGAAAGAATGGTAGGGCTAGGTTGAATTTGTTATCAAATGGAGTCATGGGAGGGTTTTTTGCTGGCAGTGATGCAGTCTGAGTTCTATTACTAAAAGGCCTTTGCACGTGCTCTGCTAGAGTCAGATGGGAGCAGGAAGGGAAGCCAGGAGACTCAGAGGCTACGGGGTAGATTAGGTGAGAGGTGATGGCCTGGGCTAGACTGGTGAGTGAAGGTGGTGAGAAGTAAGGCCAGCTCAGGATATATTTTGGAAACTTCGTAGGACTCACTCATGAACTGTGGAAAGTGAGGAAACAAGAAGGACAAAGAATGGAGCCTAGAGACCAGCCCTCCACAGTTGGGTGGATGATGGGAAAATGGGAGGAGGAACAAGTTGGGGATGGAAGGAATCGAAGAATCCTAATTGGGCCGTGTGAAGTAGGGTAGATGGAGATGTTGTAAGGGCAGTTGCATCTAAGATTCTGAGTGCTGGGTAAAGAGGAGGACTGGAGATGTAAATTTAGATGCTGTATCAGTGAGGGTCCTGGCAAGAAACAGATGACACACTTAAGTGGAAAAAGGGGAATGTATAAAGTTGTGGGCAGAATTAAGGAAAACCCACAAGGGATGGCAAAGTACCCAGCGTTAGTAGCAATGGGGAGCCACTCCCAGCCCTAGTCAAGGGGAAGGAGGGCTGTAAGGACGAGCAGAGGTTGTGCTGTAGGAAAGGCTGCCTCGCAGGAGCTGTGTTCTTCTGTAGGGAGATGGTGCTACTATCATTTTATAAGCTGGTAGCGAGGGGAATGACTCTTCTCACCCTTCAGGCTCCTGTTGGCTCCCCCATTAGACAAACAAAATGAGAAACCAGAGGGCAAGGGGACCCTAAACACCAGCCTTGCAGGATGCAGACCTGGCTTTGGTGATGTCAGTGGCAAGGCCCCCAGTTAAGGCTTCTAGAGGAAGGGGTAGGTGAGCGGGAGAGGACATGGAGAGGAGAGCAGAGAGGGTTGAGGTGGGAGGAGGAGATAGGACAAAGATCCTGAGGAGTGTACAAAGGCTCCTGGAATCCACACCCAGGGATTTAAAGTGAGATCAGCCAGCAAGGTTGTTTCCCCAGCAACACTCGGCTGCTCAGTGCAGGTGTGCAGTAAGGTGGGGGCTGTGCCAGGTGAGCATGAGAGAGGCAGAGATGGATGGGGAAAACAAGGGTACTTGAAAGGAAATGCCACTTGGCAAAAATCAGCTGGAGCTTACATACCCTGCCCTCTCCAGTTGGGAGATGTGGCTCTAGGTCACCACAGACTCACTCACTAACTTTACCTGTCTGGCCCCTGTGGGGATTTTACTTTCAGAATCTAGCTTTGACTCATGAACTAGTTGTGCTTTATCTGGTCTATTTCAAAGGTCTATTCAGGCTCCTCATCACCTCATCATCTCTTTAGTAGAGATGTGTTTAAGACCTTGGACACTGGGAATAGACTGTGTGGCTTTGAATCCTGGTTCTGCCACTCAGCTGTGTGACCTTGGGCAGGTGGCTTAATGTCTCTGTTCTTCAGTTTTCTTGTCTGTAAAATAGAGATAATAATCACACCTCCTTCAAAGGATTGTTTGAGGATAAAATGCATTAATGCTTATTAAATGCTTAGAACAGCACCTGGCCTAAAGTCTGTGCTCTGTAAATGTTAACTATCATTATTAAGATGAGTAGGAACATCAAATGGGGGGGAAAATGGGCAAAGAACGTGGAAGCACAATTGCTTCCTCCTGTCCTACACTTCACCCTTTGAAGCAGGTCATCACTGATTGGGTTTTTAGCCATTGAGGGCAAACAATCAGCTTCCTTTTATTTTTTTGTAAAATAGACGAAACTTGGCATTTAAGGAAATAGTGGATGAGCTATTAGGGTGGAAGGAGCACGGGGCTTGAATCTAGAAGGCTTGGGCTGGCCAGGTAGCAGTACAGGATGACTTTAGGCAGTTATGACACCTCCTCCATTTATCAATGAGGACACGAAGACCCAGGGATTTGGGCTGCAAGATGTGAGATCTCTTCCAGATCAAAAGTCTAAGCAGTGGTTTCCAAATATGCCAGTCCTGCGAAAAACATGAAAAGGAACCTGGGAATAAGGTAGTCAAGAACTGTGTTTTTTTTTTTTTTTTTTTTTTTTTAATATATTCCATTGATTTTTTACAGAGAGGAAGGGAGAGAGATAGAGAGAGTTAGAAACATCGATGGGAGAGAAACATCGATCAGCCGCCTCCTGCACATCTCCCACTGGGGATGTGCCCGCAGCCCAGGTACATGCCCTTGACCGGAATCGAACCTGGGACCCCTCAGTCCGCAGGCCGACGCTCTATCCACTGAGCCAAACCGGTTTCGGCATGTGTTTTCTTTATAGCCCTGGTCAGGGAACGACCATGTTTCCCCCTGGCACGCACCTTCGTGGCGGGAGTGGTGAAGGTGCTGGGCCAGGGTTTTGTTAGTCCCTGGACTCAGGAGGTTGTGAAGTTGTTCCAATGAATGTTAGCACCTCCCAGTACTGAGAGGACACAGGCCTCTGGCTGGGGCTGTTTTTCTAGACCCGGAGCATTTAAATAGCGCCTGGCTTTATTCTGCCTCATCCAAATTAACTTGGACATGGCCGGTGCACTTTATCATCACATATTGACACTTAAGTCAGATGAGGGGACATTCCCATTGACTGATTGCTTTCGCTGGGCCTCCTTCTACTCACCCCAACCCTATGTTACCCTCCGCCCACCCCATTCCAGTGGTCAGCTGAGCTGGCTCCACAGTGAGAAGAAAGCCTTCATTTATTATATGATCTCGAGGTTGGAGACTACGGGAGTTGGTCCAGCCAACTTTGCAGTAAATGTGGGTGAGGAGATCCTGGAAGGAAATGGACAGGAGCCCCTCGATCCATCACTTTTGATTGTCCCTTTCTCGTCTCCTGAAATGAAAGGCCGCTGTCCGAGTGACAAGGCGGACATTTGTATTTGACGGAGGAACGTCATCCTTGTGCCCCTTTAATATACAGTTCACCAGACGGAGGATTTCCGAGATGGACTTCACTTCCCCACCGAGGCCCAGGGCTGCTCGCCCCGGGTTCTGAGGAGCAGCCCTGAAGGCTGCGCTCCGAAATGAAAGACGGGCGAGCCGACTCACGGTCACATCAGCAACCTTTCCCCCAGTTCCTTTTCAAATGAAAGTTTATTAAAAGAAGCACTAACTCAAATCACGGAGACCTGTGTTTGAAATAAATGGTCTTGCGGCAAACATTTCCGTCTGTAAACGTCTAAACCTTTGAAAAGATGAAAGGCAGTGGGGGCCGGCGTGTTTCATTAATTTGGCACCACGGAGGAGGAAATGTGGTGCTCATTTCATTGGGGCGGATTATGAAACATGTCAGTTTTTCCATTCTCTTTCTCCAGGGCATTTTTTTACTGCAAGGCCTGTCATGATGACATCACAGATCCCAAAAGAATAAAAAAATGCGGCTGCAAACGGCGTAAGTAGCGTTTCTTTCCCCCATCCCTCCCTCTCTCCTTCCTTTTCCCAAATTCATTTCCCTTCTCCTTTTCCTATGAAAGAAACACTAAACATCAAGAGCTTTCTTGAACATGTTTATGTTTCACCCAGCAGTTTAAAGAGACATGAAATAAATACCTGTCCTCGCTTTAGTAGAGCAGAGGTTGAAAGTTCACCACCGCCAACACCTAGGCGTAGACCTAATGCCCTGTCTCACTCCGTCTCTAACAGGACGCCTCGGTGGGTGTCCGGTCGAGCACAGTGAGTATGGTGTACGGAGAGGAGGGCGTTTCTGCACCGTGATTCCCAGTGGGTCTGGGAATGCCCAGGGTACGACGGCTGGACTAGGGCAGAGAGGGAAACCGAGGTGAGCACTCGGTCTCCCGAATGGGGCTGACTCTTCCCATTGGATGGCTGCAGGTTTCGGTACCAAAGGCCAGAGCTTCCAACTGCAGTACCTTCAGATTGGCCCAAGGAAAGACCTTGGTCATGGCCAGTGGATTTTGTCATTGTCCCAGGGACCAAGGTCAGACACCAGTGCTCTTCAGGGTCAAGGAGACTGGGCCCAGTGGCTTCTGGCACAGACTACCCCAAACCCCTTCTGAAGCAGCCTGCCAGTGGGGCTTCTTGAGAGGAAGTCAGGGATGTGGGTCGTGACAGCGGGCTTGGAGCGGGCTTTGCCTGGAGAAGGCCGTGCCGTTGGCAGTGATCACGTTGCCTTGCCTAATAGAGATCTCTCGCAACCCCAGAGGAAACGGTGATGATGATGCCTGCCTTCCTATGTGCAGTCTTTTCAAAGCGCCTTAGGATCATTATTTGCTTTGATCCTCACCATAACCCTACATAATTGGCAGGGGGTGTTATTAATCCCGTTTTACAAAAAGAAGAAATTAAAGCTTCGAGGTCACTGACAGGATGAGGTTGCTGAGAGTGACATAGACCCAGCAGACAGGTTCGGGCCTGCCCGAGGCCTCTCTCGGTGCTGTGTGCGACCTTTTGGTTAGGAGACAAGGTGAAGTGGGTGACCATGGGTCTGATGAGTAGGAGTGCAGTTAGAAAGGATCGTCCCATAAAACACTTTTTTCAGAGCAGGAACCAAGCAGAGACCCCCATTCCTGGGATATACCGACTGGCAGACACAAGGTTTATTACTGCACCCCTTGGGGAGGGGCATAGTAAATGCCAAACCAAGGAGAGGTCGGTGCCTCTGCTAGGGCTCAGAGAGGCACGCAGCCTCGGGCCGATCCCCAGGTACTCTCGGTCTGGAGCGGTATCTGTAGAAATCTGCTCAGGCTGCTTCCTGGGTCTGGGGCAGCTGGGCCCACAGTTTGCTACCCCTTCTTCATTGACTTAACACACAGAGTCCCCTCCTCTCAACTCTGATACCCACTAAGATGAGTATTTATGGAAATCTCAGAACAAGAACCTCTGACTTCTTGGGGCCTGAGAATTCTTCTGTTCTGACAACCAATCCGGAAGAGTGTCTAAGGGCGCTAGGACACAGAACAAACCCAGTTCATGAATCAAAAGGCTCTTCTCAGCAGGAGGTCCACCCCAGCCCTGCCTCACTGGCTGTGAGCGCAAAGCACAGCCCAGCTGACCAGGCCTCTCCCAGATCATTTCCATGAGGCGCAACTCTCCATTGGAGGGGGAAGTAAGACGGTAACAAGTGCAGGAGGCTGAACCCCTTGGTAAGAGAGTCTCGCAGGGGCGTGAGATGGGAGATGCAGGAAAGCCTTGAGGCCAATCATTCACAGAGAACCTGGTCCATGGGGCATCAGTGAAACGCACTATTGATTCCTCACTCATAGAGTTTGAGTACCTTGTTTGTGCAAGGCGCTATTCTTGATGCTAGGGATGGAGTGAGGAACAAGATAGATCCCCTTCACTCTAGTGAATGATCATAGAACAGTGGTAATAGAAACAATGAAATCTATTCAGGCAGAGACAGGGGCTGTGAAGAGATTAGAGACCACCTGAGGGTGTGAGGAACCCTGCAGAGATGTTGCTTCAGCTAGAAAGATCTGGAAGACCTCCCTTGGGAGGTGGCCCTGACCCTGAGGCCCAGTCCAGGGAGGCAGAATAGGGGGACAAAGGCCAGAAGTAGAAGTCAGTTTGCGGTGTTTGAGGGAAGGAAGACCGGCAGGGGAGCTGGTGGAATTGGAGAGAAGAGAGCAAGATGAGATCAGAGAGGAAGGCAGGTGCCATGGTAAGAAAATTGGGCTTTAGTCCTACAATAAATAGAGCCGTTTTAAAGCAAGGAAATGACATCATCAGTTCCTGTCGATCTCCCTGGTGACTGGACAGAGAGCAGAGTCGGGGGCAGGAGTGGAACAGAGATGAGAGAAAGCGGTTGGACTCCCGCTGAGCTCTTCCGCAGACGGACTGTAGTGGGACCCAGCAGAAGAATTTTAAGTCCCTAGAAATGAGGATTTGGCCTCTAGGACATTTTCCCATCTTGGTTCTAGGCAAGTAAACAGCAGCGGCCTTTAATATCATCCTGGACGGAGAGGCGCATAATTGTTTGAAATAATTTTATTCTCTTCATTTCCATTCACATTGGCTCAGCTAGAGGGGCCTGTGAGCTCCCATCATGCACAGCACAGATTACCACGGAAGGACTGCCTCTCCAATGCCAAGCCAGTGCGGCCGGGGTCTCACTCCCTTCGCTCTGCACCCTCCTCCCCACGTGGACTCCTCTCATGGCAGCCTTCAGCTGTGAGGTTCATGTTTGATAACAATCAGAATTTCCCAAATATTGTTCTTCCCAATTAAAAGGCCACAGCAGCCTGTGCCCCAGAGGGCAGGATGCAGGTGTGTAGGTGGAAATGGTAGTTAGAATAAATGAGCTATTAAACATGAGGCATACCTGGCAGGTCAGGAAATGGGGGGGAGCTAGGTTTTGGTTGCAAAGAAACTTTCCTTAGAAGGAACTGGAATTGTCAATAATGAATTAAATGCACATTGCCCGATGCCCTAAGTTGGAGAGGGCAGCCACCCACAGAGTCATTTGTCCAAATCTGTTAGGCCAGGTGTTAATAATCCACCCTGAGTGACACATCTCCACAAGGGCAGAGCTGGTGACAGTCACTGGTCCTCATTCACAGCTTCCCAACCCTCCTCTCCCAACCCCGCTCTTCCCTGTCCTCCCCACCTCCATCCCCCCGTTCACTTTTGTTCAATAACGTTGAACGTTTCATGTCATACACTCTGGAGAAATACCGAGTGTGGCCATTCCATGCCTGGCAATTCTGTGGGAGCACAGTTTAATTCTTGCATTTCTTTCCATTTCTTCATAGCTCTCCATCAAGGAAGAGGGCCACATTCGGTGTCTGGCCAAGGAGCAAGCTCTCAGAATCCATTTACCCATTTTCTTTTTCTGTATAACGGACCTGGTCTAATGATTGATATTTTCTCCCCCAGCTTCTAAAAGTTGGCCAAAGGGTAGACTCCTCTGGGACAAGTCATGTCTAAATTGATGTGTTTGAAGGAATTTTCTTGAACTTCTAATCATTGACATATTTTTGATTTATTTTTCTCTTTGCTGCCTTGGAATACGGCCCCTACTCTATTTTAACCGCACACTGGTAGTGATCTATTGTGAGTAACACGGGTTCCCAGCAGCCCGGAGTCCAGTCCCCCTGTCTTTCTCTAGAAGAGACTCTTATTTTCTGTACAGCTTCAGTCTCTTTATTCCTTGTGGTATTTATGTTGCATGTAGTAGTGAACCATGCCCCAACTCCCTTACCCAACAGTCTGCAGAGCAGCCTGGAGCTGGAGAACCTGAGAGCAGGACCCCCTCTGTCCGCCCCCCACCCCAAACTTCTAGCCAGCCTCTGGCACTGTCTTATTTTTCTATTTGAAAATAAGACCTTGACAACAGTGTTTCTCGTGAAGGCCTGTCTCAGGACCTTGAGGGGACACTGAGTAGGCCGAGGTAATTACCACTGTAGCTCCAGACACCTCATCGATTGGGGATCATGGTCACGCTTGCCTTTGATAAATTACACTTGGTCTCCTCGACTCTGGAGCTCAAATTCCTATCCTGAAGCAAACACATACACTACATATATACTTACTCCTGTGTTGTGATTGATATATATGTGTGTATATATATATATATTTTATATGTACCAGTACTTTATATGTAAAAATGTACATTTTTATATATAAGTGTGGAGCTACTTTATAGAGAGAGTGATGTATTTATTACAATATATGTGCCTCTCTATATGAGAAAGTGCGGGCTAGAGAGTTAATTGGACACCCCAGCTTTGTAAGTATCTAAACAGCCTTAATGGAGACAAGTAATTCTGCAGTGGTAATTATTTCTGACAATCTATGAAGTTCCCTTGTTTTACACTCAAGTTCCTCCTTCAATCAGGACCCACTAGGACATCCCCAGTTCCTCTGTGAGTGTTAGGCATCTTGGGAGATGTTTACTGGTTTAGCAGACATCTACTTGTTGAAGGCAGAAAAGGTGGCTCAAAGAGAATGCTCCGTTTCACCCATGAGCTATGCAGAAATCTGAGCCGTGGATGTGAGGCCCCAAGCCCCCTAACTCACTGATGGAGTAGGCCCCTCCCACCCAGAGGCTGCGCCTTTCAGGGCCAGCGTCTCCATGTGGCTTAGAGCAATGCTGTTCTCCACGCACCAGAAATGAGCGTGGGGTTTCCCTCGTGTCCGTGAGACCACTGAAGTCGAGGGGCAGCCTGCAGCCCATTCAGGCCAGCGGCCCTGGGATGTGGAGAAGACGGCTCAGCACCTGGTCCCCTCCGACTCCTTTGCAGCAAGAGACAGGTTGGCCGTCTGGCTTGGGCTCATCTTCAGACTCTGAAGGTGTAGAATGCTCAGGGTACAAACGAAAGCGAGCAGTGACCTTCCTCAGTCCCACTCCCAATTCTGCCAGAAGCGACTGCGCGGACTCCCTGTACCTGCAGAACGCCTCCAAGGGTGGCTTGAGGGCCACTTTTATATCCG